TGGTGCTCTTGGTTTGAATGTATCTGCTTTAATTTAGTGTGTCACTGACTAATTAAGATTCAGAAAGAATCAGTCAGAACTGACTTTTTAGGTCTTTAAAATATTAATGATTAAGAGCAGAGAGATAAGTAAAGCTTCCAAGTAAGGAAAAAGGGAAAGGAGAGGAGAAAAAAAACCTTTAACATCTCCTTTGGAGGCAAATCCAGATGTTTTTCTCCCTTATTAAAATATAGGCTAAAAATACCACAACTTTACAGCTCTTGAATTGTTGGAAATGGTTTGCAGATGAAGTCATCAGGCTCTTTTTGTTATTATCCATCCATCCCTGTGCTTTCTGGGAACTCTCTCAGGGTATTCTGCACTCCAGAGATGACCTGGAGAGGGACCAAATCAAGGACTTGATTTTTCCCCTTGGTTTAAGTGCTGATTTTTTCAATCCACAAATGACTGGAATTTGCTAACTGAAGTTGAACTCTGTGACAACACATTCCTGTCAAATGGATCTGTAGGAGGGAAAAGAGAGGAAAATGAACAAAAATTGAATCAAAATGCAAATCCTCCCTGGATGTGCAGAAATAGGGATCAGCTCCTTTGCTGTATTACTTGAAGAGGAAGTTTGCTGGTGACTGCAGCAGTGTAAGGGGAGATATTTACAGGCAGATTTTATGTTTCCTTATGGATTTTACTGAAAGGCTCTTTGCAAATGTATTTGTGTTGATTTTTGTTTCAGGTCAGCCATCAGCTGGGCAATGTGATGGATCTGTTCACCACCAGCCTGTCCCTGGCAGGGCTGCAGCCTCCCAGTGACAGACAGATTGATGGCATCGACCTTTTACCTGTCATGCTGCAGGACAAGCTAATTGACAGGTTAGTTATGAGCCCACGGCTCCCATCTGACTGAAGGGATGCCAGACTGGGGCTTGTTCTTTAAACCAAGCTTCTAGATTTATTTTCTGCACTGAATTGCTTCACCTTTGCTCCTGCTCAGGGAGGTGATGCAGCACCAGGGCTTCACACTGGGTAATTCTCCAGTGGGGCAGGCAGAGGTGGGATTTGCTGACATGTGGCATGTTGCCACACAGTGGAGTCTGGGGACAGATGAAAATGTCAGAGGGTTAGCAGAGATCCCTGAGACAGCATATGGCAGGAGGGGAGATAAAAGCCTGAGAACTGTAGCCTGGGCAGGGGAGAATACATTATTTATTGCTGGAAAAGCATCCCAGTGTGTGCTGGGTCCTTCCAGCCCTGCTAGGGAGAGGAGGAGGGAAAGGCTATGCTGCTGTGGGTAATCTGGAAGGACATCTCTTGCCAAGGTCCTGCTTCTGGGGATGCTTCTGGGGATAGATTTGGGTTAGAGACCTGGAATCTTTCTGGAGTGCTGTCAGCTGCTGGGAACAGGCACCAAGGTCTGACACATCCTTGGATCTCTCACTGCACAGGATGGAGGTCAAGAGAGGACTTGTAGGTGTGATTTTGATGAGGAACTTGGTGGCATGGGAAAAGCGAGTGCAAACATAATCTTCATGAGATAACAAGGAAACACAGGCATGGAAAACATACTTGAGCTCTTTTCCTCATTGGATTTGAGCCTTTGTGCTGTCAAATTGCCTTTGTGACTGTTAAGCAAGAAACACACCTGAAGTGTTACCTGAGAGCTGGCATGAGTCTCAAACACAGCCTGTCCCATCTTCTGGAAATTTGCAAAGCTGCTTTGTTGCTTTAAAATGGGATTTCATTGCTGTCACCAGCCTCTTGGTGCTGTTTGGCTTCAATACACTCAAGGCACATCATGGCTTTTTTTTCCTTCTTTTTGTTTTCCCCCCAGACCTGACCAAGTCAGAGTTTCCACAGCCCCCTAAAAACCTTCAAGGAGATGCAGTTGTTGTGTTCTTTTAAGTTTAAAAAGGAAAATCTGAATGGGGAGAAAAAGAAATTATTAATAGCAGAATATTGAGTACAATATTGGAATCCTCTTCAAAATCCTCTTTCAAGATGGAAAATATTCTGTTTTGAAAAGCAAAAACCTCAACCTCACACCTTCAGTCAAAGGGATAAGTAATAACATGTCAAATAGGGAATGTTTATGGCTAGGAAAAGGAGACTGGAATATTTTGTGACATATTTCTTTGTGGTTTTGTTAGTGGCACTGGTTTAGATCAGGTGCTGCACCTTGGTAGATCTCTCTCCCTGCCTTTATTCCACCTTCCAGGTGTGTTAAGGATACAGGAATATGCTCTGCTGGCAGCAGCTTTCCTTCCTTCCTGGTGACAAAGTCATTTCCCCTTTGTTCCTGGTGGCAGTTCCTGGTGCCAAAGGAGAAAGGCTCATTGTTTGTACAAGGAGCCTGCAGGGAGGACTTTAAAATCCAAGAGATCTGAGGCCACTCCTGTCATTCAGGTGTGGATATTTACATTTTCCCTTGCATTTAGGGACAGTTTTTCAAGGTGGCATCAGCAGAGTGAGTAGTTTTTGCTGAGTGGCACCTTGGAAGGGAAGACAGAGATGGATGTACCTCCCTGACAGTGAGAAACAGCTTCACCATTGTGTCCTGTCAGCAGCACAAAAGGACAGGAGGGAAGAGCTGACCAAGCCTGGTGTCCTGCTGTGATGAGCTGCACCACCAAATCAACTTTCTCTCCTGCACATAGTCCCTTTCAGTACCATTTTGTGCTGTTCCTTCCACAAAACAGGAGTGTGTTGTTGAGGAAATCAACAGGAATGCTGCTGGGAAGCCCAGGGAAGTGCCTGTACACAGGTGCAGGGAGTGAGATGCATTCCCAGATGGATTATTAATTAGGGAAACCTCTGGGAAAAAATGCAGTTGTAGCAGTGTGTTTACATGCTGCAAAGTGAGGCTTGGGAGGGGAAATGGATGAGAGTTAAAAATAAAGCCTGTCTGGCTGCCAGGTTTTTCCATATGGAGTTTCTCTGAGATGTCATCCAGAACAGGCCAACATCTGGTGTCCTCCCTGGCCACCCTGTCAGTGTGACACTGACAGCACATAGCCTGGTGCTGCTGGGAGGAAGAGACAGCATCCCAGAGCCTCTGAATCCCTATTTTTCCCCTCACACACACACACAGCACTTGTGAGGCATTTGGTGTCTAAACCGACACGCTCGGGAGGAAATTCCAGGGGCTGATAGTTCAAGGATTAACAATCACTGGCAGCCAAGCTGGATAATGTTTCATTCTTACACCCTGTGAGCTCTTAACTTGATGAACACTTTAAAGAATGCTAATTGAAAACCTTGCAGAGGAGGCTATTAGGAGCAGCCTGTTCCTGCCTGATAGCTGCATGGGAAGTCAGAGCGGTTAAGGTGTTTGTCTCCCTTATCAGCAGGGCTGGGGTTGGTGTGTTGTGTTTCTCATGCAGCTCTGCTCTCTTCCTCAGGCCCATATTCTATTATCGTGGCAACGAGATGATGGCAGTGAGAGTTGGGCTGTACAAAGCTCACTACTGGACCTGGAGCAACTCCTGGGAGGAGTACAGCAAGGTAACTGCACACCAGGGGCACTGGTTCTCCTGGGGACAAACAGCCCTTTAAACAGAGGTTAAACTGGGGGATGTCACTGTCCTTAAGTCTCTTGAGGGCTACCAGATCTCTGTGGGAGTTTAGGTTCGATATTAGAATCATGGAATCATAGGATGGTTTGGGTTGGAAGGACCTTATAGATCATATTCCACCCCCTGCCATGGGCAGGGACACCTTCCACTAGCCCAGGTTGCTCCAGACCCCATCTAACCTGGTCTGGAACACTCCCAGGGATGGAACAGCCACAGCTTCTCTGGGCAACCTGTGCCAATGCCTCAGCACCTCACAGGGAGGAATTCCTTCCTAATATCTGTTCTAAACCTCCTCTCTCTCAGTTTAAATTCATTCCCCCTTGTCCTGTCACTTGCATGCTCTAATAAAAAGTCCCTTTCCCTCTTCCTTGTTCTAGGAAGAATTTCTTCTCCCAAAGGGCTGTCCAGCCCTGGCACAGCTGTCCAGGGCAGTGGTGAAGTCACCATCCCTGCAGTGATTTAACAGCCATGTGGATGTGGCACTTGGGGGCATGGTTCGTGGTGACCTTGGCAGTGCTGGGGAATGGTTGGACTTGATGATCTTAGTGGCTTTTCCAACCTCAATCATTATCTGTTCCTATGACAATCTAAGGGCCCTGGTGTCACACATCCCTCTCCTGAAATCAAGGACAAGGAAAGGAAAATGAGCAGGTTCCAAGTTCTTCTGAGGGAACTTTAATCAGTACTTAATCCCCCTTAATATTAAACTTCTTTCCCTGCTGAATTCTGAGCATTCTTCTTACAGTTGAACTCACTGATCCTTGGGAGTCCTTTCCTCCTGGGGATATTCTGTGTTCCTATGGAAGGCTGGGGCATTGATCATATATGTCACAATCCTAGGACAAAACACCTGATGCCCTGAACTATTTCAGTGGAACTGGGATGGGTTTGATGGGATTTTTCCTCAGAGGGAAAGGAAAGCTGTAGGAAAGGCACAATGGAAAGAACAACAGTGGCTGAAAACAGTAAAGTCCATGTGTTTAATCTTCGATCAGCACTTTTGTGAGCTCATATCACACTAGATTTTACATTTAATTTATATGGTTTATTTCCTGGCTGTTCTTCTCCCAGCTGGATGTTAAACACTATTATTTCTTTTTTCTTGTGTCTTCCTTGCCTGAGACCTGGGTACTAAACAGTTTTGAGTGGCAGGTCCACACATGTGCCTTGCTGATCATCCCTTTAGACATGAACTCCTGCATTCAGGCCCAGCTCTGCACTCCTGGCAGCAGGCAGGGCTTGGGGAGGGATTCTTTGGAAGATTTATTTTCTTTATGCCTTTATTTTTGAACTTCTGGTGGGTCCTCGAGGCATCACAGGTGCAGAGCTAAGTGCTGATGACATTTGTGGATATAAAAGTGCCTGGATGCTTTCGGTGGGATGTCCTGGGGGTAGAAGGCAACATCAGTTCCAAGGGAGTAATTTCTATTCAGGGCTGTAAATATGTGTGTTTGTCTTTTTTAAGCCTGTAATGCTCCAGGAGGCAAAGTTTGGCTTACAGGGAGTAAAGAGGAAAAGCAAGTTGGCTCTAGGAATGGATTTTACACTCTGTCTCAATGCTAATTCCACACAGATAAAATGAGATATTTTATTTGTCTAGTATGTGAGTAAAACTCATATATCACGCATGGCACAGCTTGGAGGATTTTCCGTGTGGGAGACACTGAGAGCTTGTCTGTCCTTGTGTTTGGGTGTAGGGCTGGGCTCAGAGAAATGCTTTTCCCCTGTGCATGGAAGATCCCCACATGAATTATTGCTCTCCATGGAAATATAAGCTCATCCACACACTGCCATACCCAGTTGGGAGATAAATAAACCCTCTACATTGATCTAAACCAATTTCTACATGTCTGAGTATGTGTGTAGCAGTGATAATAGGCACGAGTTCCCCCTTCCAGAGGCTCTCCCCCTGTGAGCAATGGCAGTGCTGCAATTAAGGCATATTTATTTGCTCCCAAGCCTTTGTTTAACTACTGTCTGATAAAAGTCAGCAATTAGACTGTACATCAGAGGGAGGGTTACAAATTCACCCACTTTCCTGCAGCTTGTAGCACATGTGCTTGATGTGGGGGAAACTGGAGCACATTAGTGGCCGGAGCAGCCATTAACAACATGCAGAGGAAGCTGAGACTCACATTTGTTCCAATTCTCCTTGTGTCCTCCAGCCATTAATTATAAGCTTCAAAATGGGAATAAATCAGAATGCAGAGCAGTTCCCCAGTCCTGAGCCCTGTTGAAGTTGCTTCTGAGCTCACCTCACAGTGGCCTCTTTCAGTGCCTGTATTGATACTGGACTCCAGGATCAAAAAGGCCAATTTGTTTGCTAATTTCATTGGAAAACATATTTCAACCCATGCATATCTGTGCACTTGGAATTCTGACCATCAGCCTGTTTGCTGTTGGATGAGTTTGATTTGCCATCCCAGTAGAACTTCAGCTAATGAGGCTTTGTTAATTGGATGATCTTTTGTGTTGGGCTTACCTCATTGTGAATCCAGTGAGATGCTCTAGTGAACTTCCAGATAGGAAACTCTGTTTGAAGGTCCATGCTCAGCTCTGCGAGAAATATATCTGGTTGGCATTGGAAAGAGCTCTGAAGTTGACCAGATGTGTCAAAACAACTGTCTGCACATTTGTAAGAGGTTTGCTTGATGAGTAGTTGAATATCTCATTATTTTGACACATGGCACAGCTCAGCCAAACCTGCTTTCCCTTCCAGAATTCCCTTGCTAACTGACAGTGTGAGAAGTCATCAATACAGAAACCTTACCCTGGTTTTAATCCACACTCTGAGCACTTTTGTTTGACTTTCAGATGAGATTAGACCATGAAAGCAGCCAGAACCACATTTTCATGTTGATATTGGAAACTGGGGAACTGCTGCATAATCCTGGGTCTGGTTAGGGCTTCCAGGATGAAGGAGGAAGGATGTGGGCAAGCCTGGCCCTCACCTGGAGAGCTGTGTTTGAGTGGGCTGTGAGTTAGTTCAGGGATAAAGAATGTACACACAAATAAAAATGCACCACAGAGACACAGCCTGCAGGAAGCAAAGCCTAGGCAAGCAGAGCAGGGATGTGAAGGCTTCTCTCCATATGGCACTCAGAATATTTACTCTGGAAACATCCCATGCAAGCAGCACACAGGTTTGCAGTCATCCTAAACTCCCATGGCAGCAGCATGCCCTTGCTGGTCTGCATCCTCTGCCTTATGGCCTGGGATTAGAGCTTGTCATCTCACACACAGATGAATTGTGCTCTTCTGTTCTTCCCAGTTTTGTTTATTTTTTAACCCCCAAGCAATGTTTTTTTTCCTAGTCTGACTCCTGTCATAAAGTCTTGTGTTCTCTCAGTGCTGGAGGATGCCTTGATGCTGTCTTTTCTGCTGGATTAACTTGATTACTTGATTCTTGAATGGGTGATCTCGTGGAAGCATAAAGGGAAGGCTCACTCCACACAAGCAAGTGGGAATAAGCATTCTGTGGGATGTTTTCTCTGTGGATTGCCCAGGATGCTTATTTGGAGCTATTTACTTGGCTTCCATCTCTATAGGTGGCTCATGTTTGCATAATTGGACATCTCTGACATTCAGGAGGTGATAAATGGGACAGGAAGAGATGAAAGGAAAGTTGACTGGGTAAATGTGTCTGTATTTTTAAGTAGTTTGGGGAGAGGGAGAGGAATCTCCATCCTGCTTAGGGACTAAGGTCCTGCTGCTCTAGGACTGACTGTCTATCTATCTATCTATCTATCTATCTATCTATTTGATATGTATCTATTTGATTACTTTTCCACCATCATTGCTCACCTCTCTCGTGGCAGAAATTAGCAGTGATAAAAACATGTGCTGGAGCAGAAGTGAGAACTAAGGATAAACCTGGGAAGAGTCCTCTCTTGTACACTGTAACACTGGGATTTTCCTGGAAGTCACCTGTAAATGCTGTTCTTGTAGCTGTCACCATCCATCCTTTTAGCCTGTAAGTCAAGCTTGTTCCTCACCAAATTTGAGCTGGATTGCAGAGCAAATTGGAAGCAAACATG